AAAACAAACAAAGAAAATAAATATGATATGCAATAATATGAAATAAGAAATATTGTTTGATGACATTTTCTTAAACAAAGATTAATTTACAGATGATAGTGCATCATATTATTTTCAAGTAAATTTTCTTTTATATCATGGAACTTCCTGTTACGCCTGTAACAAAACCGATCCAGGAGTCACCGGTCGAAAGGCACTCAGCTGGCTTGTAGAAGAAGTTGGCGGGGCTGTCCTATTCGCGTGAAGAAGCCGAGCGACAAGTTTTCGTAGCGAAAGGAAGCCGGGCGTAGGTGGTGTTCACAAGGGGCTTAATCACATAATCAAGGAGGAAAAATTAAAGACGTTTGGTGGGAAAGTTGATAGGAAAAGTTTGAAATGTTGGGAGAGGATTCTATTAAGTGGAAGAGCCTAGAGTTTGTTTGTTTTATGCATGTTTTGTTGGCTGCCGTGTTTTTCTTCTTCTTGTGATGTTTCTAGGGCTGTGGGAGAGCTGATCTACCTTTCAAAAGTAGATTATCTTTCAATCTTGCTTGTTCTCATTTTTTTTCGTAAGAGCAATCTTCATTTGTGTTTTTTCATCTATTTATTGCCATTTTGTCGTGTTGCTTGTTGATTTTTTGTTCCGGAGCGTATCACTTCCCACACCTCCATCATGGTTCATTTACACAATTAACTTCTTGGATTGGTAAAAAATTGCAGTATAGGACATTTTATCTGAAACAAATGATAACTACAGTATTTTATCTGAAGTAGAGGATTTTTTATTTCTTTTTGAAGAATGAGGCTAATATGATGGTGATCAATGTCATACCAAAATTGTTACTGATGGCATTCATCATGCAAAGCCTCATAAACAACATGACGTCTCTATAATAATTTTTGCATGAAAAGTTCTATAAACAACTTTAATTTCATGTTTGAGTTCCATTTTCAATTCAATAATCAAGTACTCATGAGGTTAAAGCATTAAAACTGTGCTAGTGGAGTTGTGAAGGATTTACTTATGTTTAATTTTCGTATTTCATTAGTAAAGCTGACAAACATTTATTTTGAAATACTAAGGGGTTGTTTAGGATCATTTTTTTTATTTTGATTTTTTTTTTGTTTATGCTTTGATTTGGAATAAAACATGTTTGACTATATTATTAAGGTGAGATTATTTTTAAAAACACTCATATCACCCAAAAATTATTTTTGAATGTTTTTAAGAACGTTTTAATTTGTTTTCCGAAACAAAAAATAAAATTATCTAAAAAAGCGCACTACTCAAACATGTTTTTAAAAAAAGGAAAAAAATAATAAAATTTATCCCAAACAACCTCTAAGATATCATAACTTTTGAATCTTCTGTTCTACTTTTAAAGAATACGCAACCATTGATTTATATAGCCTCTTTTTGTGATGATGGGAATTACATATGGTTTCATTGAACAAAATTTGGTTTCAGCCTTGTAGGGCCAGGGGAATGCCATAAAATTATGGATACAATAGAAGCAGGGGTTAGATATAACAGGGGAGACTACTTCTTAAGTGTCGTGAAAACGACGGTAATTAAACAAAAATTGAAATGAGAAATTCGCAAAAAAACAACAGACACAGATTTACATGGTTCGGTAAATTGCTTACGTCAACGAAGTTGCATAGGATTTTATTAGCTTTGAGGATTACACACTGCTGACCACATCGACTATTACAAGAAACTCTCTCTCTCCTCACCTTCTCTCTCTCTCTAACCGAGAGCTACAACCAAGGGGAAGCCAACAACCGAAGGAATCCCAAGGGAGCTAGTGTAGTGCGATACTCCTCTTGTCCGTGAGCCAACACCGAAGAAGTCCTGGAAAAAACTAGACCTTGCGATACAGTCTTCCTGTAATCTGATCCGAAGAAGAAGATTAGGAGCTCTATCCTGCGATGCACCAGAGAACGTCAATTAATAGACAAACTATTTCGGCCCATTAAGGAAAGGCCTTTATTGCGAATATTCATGGCTACTTCTTTGCTTTAGTCGTGAAATCAAAGTCAAGTAGTCAACACCCTTAGTCGACATATCAACGTCTACATAACCTTGTACCTTCAAGCTCTTTCCTGGCTTCCCAACTATTTGACATTGAAACCAACAATATCAGCGCACATATCTCATTATCAAAATCAATTTCAACTGATGACAATTGATTTGTGATGATATTGAAATCATTCGGATGCTGAACGAAAGACACACCTTCTTCCATCTTTAAGTTGAATAACTTTTTCATCAAATGCACATTGTTAGTCGCCTATGCTTTTCATACATACCTGATAAAGCCGCCGTGAGATATACAGTAGTCATTTCCTTAATAATGTTGTGGGCAACGGATCTCGAAATGATTAATCGAACAACCACCAGAACCTGTCGATCTAACAAATTCCAATGAGTTTCATCTATCTTCTTCGGTCGGTTTCCCTGTAACGGAAGATGAAGTTTATTCTCATAGAGGTAGTCTTCTATCTACATCATCTAGTAACAAAATCTGTGTCATTAAAATTCTCGATCTCTGATATCATCATTACATCTCCAACTATCGTTTTTCTCAAATCCGAACCAAGGCTCTGATACCAATTGTTGTGAAAAACGACGGGTTTAAAACGAAAATTGGAATTAGAAATTCGCAAAGAAACTGACACATATTTACGTGGTTCGGCAAATTGCCTATGTCTATGGAGCTGCAGAAGATTTTATTAGCTTTAAGGATTACACACCGTTGACCACGTCGACTATTACAAGAAAGTTTTTTTCTCTTTCTTCCTCTCTCTTTCTCTCTCTAACCAAGAGCTACAACTAAGGGGAAGCCAACAACAGAAGGAATCCCCCCAAGGGAGCTGGTGCCGTGCGATACTCCTCTTTTCCGTGAGCCAACACCGAAGAAGTCCTCGAAAAACTGGACATTGTGATAAAGTCTTCCTGTAATCCGAACTGAAGAAGAAGATTAGGTGGAGCTCTATCCTGCGATGCACCAGAGAACGTCAATTAATAGACAAACTATTTCGGCCCATTAAGGTAAGGCCTTTATTGCGAATATCCCTGGCTATATCTTGCTTTTAATTGCGAAATCAGAGTGGCGGGAGAGCGGGAAACTGTGATTGGTGGGAGATTTACACAAGGAAAGGCCCTGGCTCATGAATCCTTTACAAGGAAAGAATTAAAGAGCAGTTCAATTTGAATATCAGATCCAAATAGTTTCCATAGTGCAGAATCCGCCAAATAAGGAAGTGGACCGGGTCTCCACTTTCCTCAACATTAAGTTGGAACTTGGAAATTATAGCCTCTTCTTTGTTGATGTTGGTATAGATCTGTTGTTGATAGTGGTCGCTCCACATTTGATTTGAAAACAAAATTTTAAGCCTTGTTTTAAGTAGATTAGAATAGTCAGATCAGCTAATGGTTCAAATAGCTATTTTTTACTGGCACATTCTCTGTTGGCCTAGTAAAAGCACTGTTATAAAGATATTTGGCCCTAGAAATTTTCTATACCCGTAAAATCCCCTGTTATTGGTTTGTTAGTTTGCTGTTTAGAAAAGCAAAATTTTTCAGTCAGAAGATAGAAAAGGAAAATAAATGGTTATGTTTCTTTTAGGTCAAGCAAGCAGAACTTCTGTCATCAATTATATCCTATAGGCAGCTAAGAAATTGTATGAAGAAGGATCAATTTACCCTTATGGCTTGTTTGGGATCAACTTTGTCGTTTGTTGTTTGTTTTTAGTTTTTCTTTTGTTTATTGTTTTTTTTACGTTTCTTATTTTTTATTTTTAAAAATAAATTAACATGTTTTTAAAAACACTCATAACAACTTTTAGCTGTGGAGTATTTTAAGTGTTTTTAAGAACAATTATTTCTTAATCAAATATGTCAAAATATGTTTTGTTTCAAATCACAACATAAACAAAACAAAGCATAAGATAAAAAGTAGAAGTGATTTAGTGATGAATAACCGAGTTCATTCTAAATTAGCAAAAGAGAACTTAGTTGTCTTTATTTGTTTCTGCATTTAGTTACTTGTACGAATATGATTGGCATATAAGAAAAAAAAATTCCATAAGTTCTTATAATTTCAAAATCTATACTATCCATAAAAAATGCATTTTCCTTTTCATTTACTATTGACTCCTTGTTATACAACAAAATATTGAAGGTTTTGCATGTTATGAGCCTAAGAAATTTAATTCTGCCACTAAATGATTCTAACTAGTATCAGAAGGGAAGAGAATATTCCCCATATGGCTTATTGTCCGACTTTAGATAAGCATAAATGTAAAAAAGGTTTTACATTTATCTAAGATGACCAATATATCAAGTGTCAAATACTCAGTTTTTATGTCTTGATGCTTATTTCAATTGATCAATTATAAACTAAACAAATGTGGAGCATTGTTTAGGTACTCTAATTTCCTATCATGTTCTATAGTAGGGGTGCAAACGAGTCGGGTCGAGTTAAGCTTGAGCTTGAGCTTGATTAATTTATTGAGTTCGAGCTCAAGCTCGAGTTTAGTTCTACAAGTTCGAGTCGGCTTATTTATTATCAAAGAAATAAAACAATATTAATCCAAACTAGTGTTATAATAACATGACAAATAGAATGAATAATTTGGAGGTAAATAATAAAAAATCATTTTAACATAAAATCTAAAATATTATTTTTTAAACTTCTTTAAAAATTTAATGATAAAAGTTTTGAATTTAATATACTTTGAGTACATTTTATATTAATTATTTTTAAGAGAGTCGGCTTACGTGCTAATTGGTTTGAAGTCAGGGCTGGCTCAAGCTTTGCTAGTTAGCTAATTGAGGCTCATCGAGCCAAGCCCGAGCCAACTCCCGAGTAGGCTTGGCTCAATTACACCACTATTCTATAAGGGTCGATCATCATGTCATATTGAAGTACCAACCATTAGTTACTGCGTCACATATTGCATTTTTTTGTTAATGTCGCATATTACATTTTTAACTGGTCTTTGCTGCACTTTAGGGCTTCCTCAGTTCTCACATCCGACGAAGAGATTTATGCAAGTTTTGGATGAAGCAGGTCAGCACTTGAAGGGCTTCAAATTCCACCATTGCTGATAAAACTGTACGACTTTTTCTTTTAACTTTGAATAACCTATAGATGAACTAGACACACCCTATATTTTGAATCTCCCAAATTTGAGCTTTTTAATGTAATCTTCTTTATTATTGATCCAAATTCATTATTGATTTCTATTTATTCTAGAATAATGTACTCACTTTTAGCAACTTCTCAGTGTCATCTTCTACATTTTTACGAACTACTTATAGGGACATGCCATCATCATAGCTACTAGCCAACTGTAGAACAAGTTTTTATACTGAAAACTACATAGAATAACATAAGGAAGATTTACATCCACACCACTCAATTCTTTTGTATTCACATATCTAACACCTAAACTTCAATCTTTATATTTCCTTACCTATGCCTGAGAATGCATATTCTACGTTTTAAAAGCTAAAATGATGGTACTTTTGAGGTGATATGAAATATTTGGGTGTTGTAAATGTAAAAAAGCCAAACTTTATGTGTTATATTTGTAAGCACATAGGAATTGGGTCGAATGTATTGAAATACCCCAATAAGGAAATAAGTTTTCACAATGATGAGTAAAGTGTCAAAATAGTCCCTGATTTTATAGAAGTGTCAAAATAGTTTCTAAATTCTTTAAATTGGGGCTAAAATAATCTCCATTGAGTACTATTAGAACTCAATTTAAAAATAGCGAGGGATTATTTTTACATTTCTATAAACTCTAGGACTAAAACGACCTCACTTAAATAGTGGGGGACTATTTTGACACTTACAATAACGAACATAAAAGGTTGTCCCTAGCTATTTGGTGTTTGATTCATTTATAGATTTTGTATTGATGCCAATGGAGCAATCCGTGTGCACTTTCTTTTCTTTTTCTTTAATATGAATTCGCAAGAGAAGTATTCTTTTAAGCAATGAGTTCATTGTTGCACTTTCTTTTCTTTTATTAATATGAATATGTGGGAGTGGTATTTTCTTTTATGCAATGAATCAATTGTTTCTAATTTTTCTAATCTAGCACTCCAGGCAGCCTTTTTTTATCCAACAGTCTTCAATGTCAATATAGGTTAGGAAAATTTACATGCATACCACTCAATTCTAATGTAATTACATATCTAACACCTATACTTCAATTTTAACGGACATGCGATCTTATCTATGATGAAAATGATGTATTTCACTTATAAAAGTTAAAATGATAGATATTTTTTATGTGATATGAAATGTCTGGGTGCCATGAATGTAAAAGCAAAATTTTGGTGTTAAATGCCTAGGAATTGGGTGGTGTATGTAAATATGAAACTTTAGTTGTGAAATATTTAAATGCATGAGAATTGTGTGCTTGGCATGTAAATTTCCGAAGTGACATAATCATCTTCCCTTGTTTATTGCGAGTGTAGGGCTGCAAAAAAATTGATTCGGGCCGGGTGGTTGTTTGAGCTCGGCTCGTGCTTACTAGAAGTTTGTTCAATTTTGACTTGAGTTCGATTCAACCTTTTGTGAAGAGTTTGTTAAAGTTTGGTTTGGGCACAACTCGAGCTTGTTTACATTGTGATTAACAAATTTTAAATGAATAAATTGTTTGAAAAAATAAATAAGTTTTATCAAGTGAAATTTGTTGAGTCTAGCATATATGACTTTAATTGAACAAACTTAATAAACGAGCCCTACTTCTAGCTGAGCTTGTTCGCATGCTGCATCTCTAGTGAATGTCTTTTCGAGACTCAAAATTTTACGACTCTCGAGTTTTAAACGATATTATTCATGATCTTGAAGAAATCAAATAACAAACTATATATGTTTGTTCCTTTAATAATCGAGAATATTTAGAAGAGTTCAATCATAAATGAGCTCTAATCAGGCAGAGCCATGGTAGGTTGTTGAACACTCGGCAAACTTTGTAGTTTTTTCTTAGACTTAATTTTCCTACAGGAAATGCCACACTGGGTAGAAGTTTTGTCCCATAAGGATTTTTTTTTTAGTTTTATTTTGTCCCATAAGGAAACTGATTGCATGAACATTTCTTTGAAGTTCCTTTCTCCCTTGCACTAATTTGTTCGAAAGTTAATGGCAAATTACTAATTATTAATTTGTAATTTGTTTGCATTCAATTTTTTTTTTCTGGGGGCATTTGCATGCATACAACACCATTCTTGCATATCTAACACCTAAACATGTATATTTACATACATGCCATTTATACCTTGGATATCAGAACAAAAATATCACTATCATTATTTTCTTAAAAGTGAAATGCACCTTTTCATGAATGGTTTTATGACAGCAAGGTGTTACATGGGTAATATCAAACTTTGTGTTAGATATGTAAATATGTAAGAATTGTGTGGTATGGTATGTATGTAAAATTCCATTTTTTTTTTCAGTGTTCGAAAGTCTCTTCTCCTATTGAGTGCTAGTGCTGACCGTTGTTGTAAATGGTTGGTATGAAGACTAAAAGCTTTATTGAATCAGCCTAATTTCTTGCAAATTTTTTTTCCTTTTGGTTTCGGCTCTGTTTCTTGTCAAATTCGTATTATAGTAATCAAGCTCTAGGAAAGTAACAATGGGATCACATGAGGTTTTAGAATGGAGAAGCCATTGGCAGGTTCTGGCACGCCTATGATGGGATCGAGAGTATGCTGGTGATTGAACCTCGGGATCTGGGAAGCTAATGACGGGATTGTGGTGTTCCAATCGCAATTCAGGCTTGCTTGGAGCCTACGGGATCGCTGTTTTACATAGCTAGGAAGCAAATGACGAGATCGCAATATACATGCGACGAGAAAGCCTCGTACAGAGCGGAACAACAACTCCAGTCAGAATCGCGATGATCGTGACAGATAGGTGATCGGATCACACTTACAGAGCAATACAATCACTCATTTCGACTTAGAGGGCAAGCAAATGACGGGATTGCGGCTTGCAATGACCGGACCATGTGATACTGTCACGCTTCAAGCTAGTTGGGAAGCCGATGTGCGTATAAAGTGCTGCTTTCATTGAAAATTTTATTGGAATTAATGGCAGAAAAAAAGCTAAAATTTTAGAGGAGAAATTAGATAGAGATGAGCCAAATCATCTCTAAAATGGAAGGATGTTACTAAGTGATGGAGGGGCGATTCTCATTCATGGAGTGAAGATTCATGATTTTGAAAGAAATAATGAAGAAGATCATGGAATTTTACATAAACCCACTGCTACCCGTGGCTCGATTGAGTGATAGCGTCGAGAATGGACACGAGCAGCATCGATCTGAAGGATTTGTGAGGCCTCAAGGCAACGTTGTTGTCTTAGGCGGATCTGGAGCTATGGGATCAAGCGAAGGAATTAGGATCAGACTCTAGAGGCAGCACTTGAATGTAATAATAGGACATCCAGATTGTTGGAACAAATGAAAGTAGGCAGGATTGAGCGGAGTCTAGAATAAGCTCAAGAGACAACACTTGAAAGAAATAGCACGACATTTGAATGGTTGTAACTAATGGAAGTGAGTAGGATTGAGCAAATGAGTGAGGAATGGATTCAAGTGACAACATCTGGAGGGAATAATACAACATGGAGGTTTGGAACGAGCGAGAATAGGAGAAATGAGATGATGTGCGCTTTGGGGTTGGAGAAGATTGCTTCGAAGAAATTTGGTTTGGAACAAGAAACTATAATTGGTGGTACCCTAACATCCAACTGCATCAATGCCTTTTTTGTGGTAGCCTTTTAGGTGAAAGTTGGAAGGCGATTCAGGGGTAATGATTGGAACGAGACAATTGGAGAAGAGCATGAGAGTTTGTAAGGGCCAAATTTTGACACTAGATTTTTCGGGAGGGAGACAATTTTAGTACTTCGTAGTGACCCTAGTTTGTACAAGGCATGGGGGTTGACAAATCTAGCAAAGGTGGTGGCTATGTTGGAGTGGTCATTACTTAAGATTTTGACGGGGTTGGTAAGATTTAAGGTAGTTGCAAGATATTACCTCAAATTCGTGAAATGTTGTAATTCAATTTTGTAAGGAAAGCTTTCAGTGGGTGAAAGTAATGGCCCAGTTTTTTGAGAAGTTAAAGAATGACATGATAAGTGTACCGGTAGGGCTGTGAACGATCCGATTTTGAGTCAGCTAGAGCCGAGCTGGGGTCGGCTCAAAATCAGTTAAAAAAATTTTGATCCAAAATTTTGGCTTGTAGCACAACTCGTTTATTTCGATCTGATATTGACTCGAGCCAAATTTTGAATTAATTTTTGAGTGATTAATGACCTTTGAGCTAAATTCACTGTCATTCATATATTGTTAACGATCCGATTTCGAGCCGAGCTCGGGTAGGCCCAAAATTGGCTTGAACAAAATTCTATTCAAAATTTTAGCTCGCAGCTTGGCTCGTTTATTTCGATATGAGCCAAAATTTGAATCAATCTTCGAGCGATTAACAGTCTTTGAACTAAATTCACAGCCCTATGTATTGGTGCTGGAGTTCCTGATTTCAACGAATGTTTCATTGTGGAGATTGATTCTTCATGCTATGAAGTATGCACTGTTCTTAGGCAATGTCAACAATCTATCACTTTTTTCAACCAAGTGCTGACAACGAGACCTAGACTCAAGTCTATATATGAGCGAGAGTTGATTGTTAATGTCTTGACCATTCATAAGCGTCATCCATATTTGTTGGGGTGATACTTTATAGTCAGGACAAATTAAAAGAGCTTAAAATATTTGTGGAGCATAGAATGTTGAATGAGGAGCATTAGATGTGACTATCCTACTTGGATTATGATTTTGAGATATAATATCGCCCATGAGTAGATAATAAGTCCGCAAACGCACTATCAAGGAAGATGGAGAAGCCCCAATTGATAACTTTATTAGTACCCATAGTCTTAGATTGGGAAGCCCTGAGGCAAGAAAGCAAGCATGATGAGATGCTCAGAATGTCATGACCTAGGCTGAGATTTGAAATTAACCAATCCCAGAACAAACGATCGAACAATGAAATTAAGTTTTCTATATTTTTAATTATATTACTAACAATTTTTTTTTAAGAAAATTAATTGAATGGGCCACTAACGGAAATAGAGGAAGATCAAGGCAGAGTCACTACATGATCCGAACAATCATCAATAATATGCATTGAGGGGACAACAACTACTCTACCAGGGCATATTTGTGTTACCGAGTGCATCGGGGTTTAATCCCCAAACTGTTGCATAAGATTATGGCACGTATTGGGGACAATAGCATACCTTTTGAGGTCATTATCATCATCATATTTATCATTGCATCCAATTTTTCATGCATCAAAATTGAGGCATGCTATCGGAGACCACACACCGTCGTCTTCACTATGTCCAACTCTAACAAAGGATTTGAAGGTGGTTTTGGAATCTTTGGAGGTAGAAGGGGTGCACTGAGAAGTGACAGAGACAAATGAGGTGTTGATTAAGTGGAAAACTCTCTCAGATTATGAAATAACTTGAGAGCTTTATGAAGTGATCCAAAAGCAATTTTGGTCATTGCATCTTGGGGATAAGATGTTTCTTTAGGAGTTGTTTTGTTGGTCCCTCGTGACGATGCTTAGGAATTATGGGGAGTCAATCTACTTCTCTAATTATAGATTACTCATTATTTATTAGGAATTAATCAAAATTAGTAGTAACTTAGATTTTCTAACATAATTATTGCAATTTATGCGTTGATTCGGCTCCAATTCGTATCACGTGATTCTTGTTAAACAAGGATATCTATCAAATTTGCAATAAGTAAAATTATGGTGCGCTGAGCCTTTTTTTTAGGGCCATTTACATACATACCATTCATTCTTCATGTATTTACATATCTAATACCTAAATATTATATTTTTTTTCTATTTATACTACTCATATCTTTTATATTAAATTAAACATGTCACTATTGTAACTTTAAGAAGTAAATTACAATTTTTTATGCATTAGATAACGCGACAACTGACACCTATAAAAATTAAAGTTGAGTTGTAGACGTGTAATTATATAGAAATTGAGTGGCATGCAACAATCTTCGGTCGCAAATGACTGCAAAAGTAATAGTTGATTGTAAAAATCATAATTTGTTATAAAAATCAAATGACTACGATACACTTCAAGTATTTGATCTAAGGTTATTTAGAATCAAATTGGATCACTTGAAGCACAACTAAACTTGTATTGCCGAGACCACTCAAATTAACTATAAATTATTTGAAAATAAAACTTAAATGATTCTGAATTTAAATTTGGAACATCTCTTAGCCAAAAATGCATTGCGATCAAATAAATTTCTCGGCATCATATCAATAATATTGATGCTCTTCACATAGATAAAAAAGTATATCAAGATTATTGGTACAAAAAAATATCAGGACCTCAATTACTGTCTGACATGAGTACACTTTGACCTTTCTTAGTTAAAAAAATTAAATAATTTAATATATGATGAGGTCGAACTGTACATATGACAGACAGTGATTTAAGTCCTAATAAATTTTTGTTTTTGAATTTGAGATATAATTTTTTTTAGTTTACATAATATAAAATATCCGGGCATCTAAAAACCCCAAAATTTGTTGAATCGTAAATCGTACATACATCAGAAAAACAGCTCTATAACGAAAGTCAAACTTCAAATCTCCGAAGTATCCGCTCACCCACAGAAAACTTCCGGTGAGAATACCGAAAGGCCGGATTCGAATCTTCTACCAGATACCGTTTACACATTCCAAACCTCCTATAAAATCCCCTTCAAATTCTCAGAGCCCAAAAAAGTAAAAAAAAAAACAAAGGCAGAGGAACCGCCGCGATGTCTCTCCCGGTGGCCTACCAAGGCAACACCTCCGCCGCCTCGCCCGACTGGCTGAACAAAGGCGACAACTCATGGCAGATGACCGCCGCCACCCTCGTGGGCCTCCAAAGCGTTCCGGGCCTCGTCATCCTCTACGGCGGCATCGTCAAGAAGAAATGGGCCGTCAACTCCGCCTTCATGGCCCTCTACGCCTTCGCCGCCGTGTGGCTCTGTTGGGTCACGTGGGCCTACAACATGTCCTTCGGCGACAAGCTCCTCCCTTTATGGGGCAAGGCGAAGCCTGCACTCGGCCACAAGTTCCTCCTCAAACAGGCCGCAATTCCGGCGACCATTCATTACTACAGAACCGGTGAAGTCGAGACGGCGATGGTGGCGCCGTACTATCCGATGGCGACGATGGTGTATTTTCAGTGCGTTTTTGCGGCGATCACGCTGATACTGGTGGCGGGATCTCTTCTGGGGAGGATGAATATAAGGGCGTGGATGGCGTTTGTGCCGCTGTGGTTGACTTTCTCTTATACGGTGACGGCGTTCAGTATTTGGGGAGGGGGTTTCCTATTCCAGTGGGGGGTTATGGATTACTCCGGCGGATACGTTATTCATCTGTCCTCCGGCGTCGCCGGATTCACCGCCGCTTATTGGGTATGCATTCAACGCTGCACGTTTTTTATGTTATTTTAGTTTGTTCTGTATTAAAAAAAAAGCGATTTTTCTCACCCTCAAAACTCTCTTTTTTAGAAACAAAGCACCAAATTTATGTACTTCACCCCTCCTCAACAGTAAAAATCATTTTTTTATCGATAGATTGGGTGTTTTATTTGTAAACATCATAACAATTAGATATAAAAATGGAAGATTACATACATATCACTTTAGTGTTATGTATTTTCAAATTTAACATCTATAATTCAATTTATAGATATATAAATTGAAAAAAAAAATGTTTAGATGTTAGGTATGTAAATAAATAAGAGTTGTTGGTATGCATGTGAATTTCACCAAAATTTTTAGTTATTTTAATATTGAAATTTAATTTTCATAAAATGTTGTATTTTAATGGGTTTTGGGTGGAATATTATGACATAAATTTTTTTTTTTTTTTGGCTACGAATAGAGAATAAATTCAGAAAGGATATCGAGATCTAGTTTTTAATTTAGAAGATTTCAAAATTTAATTGACGTTTGAATGTATTTATATATAAAAAGTTATTTAATTTCATAATATTTGAATTTATTAGAAATAATGTGCGTTAATTTCGTAAATCATATATTTATGAAGTTGAGCTGGAATATTCTAAAATAATATATTTTTTTATAAATAGAAAATAAATTAGATAAGGATTGGAAGATTTTCATACATTCAATTCATTTCATATGTATTTCTATATATTAAAACCAAAATTTCCGACTTAAATTTTTAATTTTAGAAATAAGCGCAGTTGACTTTAATTCTTTAATCAATACAGAGTTAATGTATATTTAATATTAGCATATTTCCCAAAGTCAACAAAATTATACAATTTTAATAAACTTTTCTGTTTATTATTATTATTAATATTAATTAATTAAAAAAAAAATGCGGGTAGGTTGGACCGAGGTCGACCAAGGACAGGGAGAGGTTTCCGCCGAATAATCTGCTTCTTATGCTGGCGGGGGCCGGGCTGCTGTGGATGGGCTGGGCCGGCTTCAATGGGGGTGACCCATACTCGGCCAACACCGACTCCTCCTTGGCGGTGCTCAACACCAACATCTGCGCCGCCACCAGCCTCCTCGTCTGGACCTCCCTCGACGTCATCTTCTTCAAGAAGCCCTCCGTCATCGGAGCCGTCCAGGGTATGATCACCGGTCTCGTTTGCATCCCGGTCTCGTTTGCATCCCCCCCGGCGCAGGTACCCTTTTTTTTTTTTCTCTTTTTTTAATTTTTATTTATTTAAAGCTAACTATGTGCCATATCTAATCATTATATATATATATATATATATATATGTATGTATGTAAGGCCTTACGTGTTATGACTATATAAATAGATAAAAATAAAGGAAGGAATTGAAAATTGTCATGTCATGTCTGAATGGAAATATATTAAAAAGAATGATTATATAAATATATAAATTTTGAGTGACATTTAAAAAAATTAAAAATAATATTGTTATTTTGATAGGACTTTGTCCCACGCTTTTCGAGTTATTATTATTATTATTTAATTCAACGCGGTTTTCGTGTGCCGGCAGAGTTCCAAAAAGGCCACGTGGTTTTTTTTTTTTTCCTTCTGTTTGTAAATTCACATAAATTAAGGCATTTTTTTTTTCTCTCTTATAAATATTATATATTTTAATAATTAATTTATTAATTTAGTTTAGGGGATATACGACACTTATATAATATTTTATTGAATAAAAATCGCGCTCATAACTTAATTAACTTTGAAAAAAATTAAAAAAAAATTGGAGAAATTAGGTGAAAAGTTTAAAATTTTTTTAAAAGTTTATTAAATTCATTTTATTTTAACCTAATTACGACCAAGCCAAATTTATTTTTAATTTAATATTTGATTTTATTGTCCAAGTAAACTCTAATTTATTTGACATTAAGTTTTTTGGGAGCAGCTTGTGCATGTCAGGATAAACTGTTTATCCTGAAACGTGGCCCGTGGGCAGAGTCGGTCGCAGGGGTCGACCCACGGCTTGCGTTTAGTGTAAAAACCAAAATGCAGTTTCGGATAAGCTGATGAAGCGCGCGAACCAAACAGTATGATGGTATTTTGAAAACGCCGCCCGCACTTATAAGCTGTCCCAAACGGACCCTAAATCTCAACTTCTCATGCGTGCGCGTGTATATACCTACATACATACATACCTACATATGTATGTATGTCTAAACTTTAGTTTTTAATTTTTAACTATAAAAACTGTAATTCAAAGGTGAAATATAATTATTTATATATTCCTTTATTTCTTTATTTACTTATCTGATACATAAAATTTAATATTTTACATATGTCACCCAATTTATGCATACTTAACTTATATTAAAATTTTTTATGCTATAAATATTAAACGTGAAGCTTAGGTGTTAGATATTTAAATACATGAGAATTTGTGTGGCTTTTTTTTTTGTGGTCAAAGTTAAGAGGAAAACTTGGATTGTAATACTTTGACTTTCTTTACGATAAATTTGAATTTTATTGATTTATTTTGATATGCGTGAAGCATATATATATATATGAAAATTTTCATGAATATTAAGATAAATTATTATGTGAAGAGTACATATATGCGAACTTTGTATATAAAGTGTTATAAATTATAATATACAATAATATTGCACAAAACATAATTATCTAGAGCTTTCATACATTATATATATTTTTTTTCACAAATGAATTATTACATGTGGATATCATATGCAGAATGACGAAAGAGATCTACGAACTGTATAGGAGCATTCGCTGGAATGGGATAAGTTATTCTTTGATAGGATCCCAATGGGATCGTAGAATCCACTAAGGATGTAATAGGTATTTGTGGTATTATTCATGATAGTTTTGAAAGTATTGTGATATTATTATATGACAATACTCACAGTCACGCAGCTTATCCGGATGAAATATTTCTTAGGTTTCACAAAGGAATTATTATATCCAAATAGAATAAATAAAACTAGTATTATTCAAGATAGCATTGTTGTATGATTACATCACAATACTATTAATATTATGATAAATACCACAAATACTACAAAAAAGTTACCATCTATAATTTTTCACGAGGATATAACCCAAAATCTCTTCTCCTCTGTGTGCACCATTTAGGATTGGTGCAAGGATGGGCGGCGATCGCCATGGGGGTTCTCTCCGGCAGCATCCCGTGGTTCACGATGATGGTGGTCCACAAGCGCTCCTCCCTCCTCCAAAAAATCGATGACACCCTCGGCGTCTTCCACACACATGCCGTCGCTGGATTCCTCGGCGGTGCCACCACCGGTCTCTTCGCCGAGCCCACCCTCTGCTCCCTCTTCCTCCCCGTCACCAACTCCCGCGGCGCCTTCTACGGCAGCCCCGGCGGCGTCCAGTTCCTCAAACAGATCGTCAGCGCCCTCTTCGTCGTCGGCTGGAACCTCGTCATCACCTCCATTATCTGCCTTGCAATCCGGATCTTCATCCCCCTGAGAATGCCGGACGAAGAGCTCGTTGTCGGAGATGACGCCGTGCATGGAGAGGAGGCGTATGCGCTGTGGGGAGATGGGGAGACTCTCGACGCTACGAAGCACGGGTTTTACTCCGACGGGGGGCGGTCAGCCGCCACGCTCGGCGGCGGTGCAGATGGGTTACTTATAGGTGTTTCTTTGTTTTGTAGGAGGAACATTCAAGGAGTGCTTGAATGAACCCTAAGAGCAGTATGTGTTTTTAATTTCTGGTGTTTATTTTATTATCTTCTTTTTATTTAATGAAAATTGTAATTGGTCAGTTTGTTTAGCTTGAAAAAAGTATGTAATTAATATAAAAGGAGGGGTTGAATTTGTTTAAATTTTTATTGCAAATGTGATTTTGTTTTGTCATTCTTTTTTTAGTTAAGATAACATGTCGAGCGCACTTGCTGAAGCGGTTTCATTTGTCGAGCTGCTCATGACTTGTTGAACTCTTCACAATCACTTTTTGAGAATAGTAAATCACAGATGTGAAAGACGACATTCAGGAACATATATGAATCCACATCTATTTACGAGCCGTCCGACATCCCTGTCTTGATCTTCTTGCAATGTCATTCATCACCGACGAGGCATGTGTCGTACAACATATATCTTGTTTTTCTTGTTATAGTTATAAAAGTATTATTGTGATAGTATTAATGAATTTCATAATTTGTAAATCTATTTTCATAATAATTCTACAACTATTCATTTATGCATTATAATCATCTATATGTGACTAAAATATTTATAAAATTGCAATGCTAACTAAAATTAGAAGGAGATAATTCATGCATGGCACTCAAAACTAGGGCTGTAAATGAACCGAGCTTGAGCGAGCTCAGACTTGGCTCGTGTTCGGCTTGTTCGAAATAGCTCGTGTTCGAAATCAGCTCGTGAATAGGGTGTTCGTGTTCGACTCGTGTTTAAATATTTGTGTACGTGTTTTTGTGTACGTGTTCAGCTCTTGTTTGACTCGAAATTGGCTCGTTAAATTAAAATTGAGAAAAAAAGATGTAACGTGTGGGATTCGAATATGGATCAAATCTATAAAAAAAAAAAATATTAACCACATTGCCGCCTTAGTGTTATTATTTAAACTTAGACATAAATATATATAATATATTATTATATAAATAATATATGTAATATATTGTTATATAAAAAGTTTCGAGCCATTTCGAGTCGAACATGAGCGGACAAACTGTTGTTCGTGTTCGGCTCGTTTTCAT